TTTACAGCAATCTTAGTATAATAGGTAGTAGATTAGATATGTCAGCACGACGGCATGAGAAGGCCTTAGACTTTCTATCACATGATAAAACAGAAATAGAGAAGCGATATGAAGCTAGGGGAACTCCCGCCCAAAGAAAGGCAAGGTCCGACCACGGGCTGAAGGTCTGGTGGCAGGATGGGGTGACTGAGACCCGGTGAGTGCCGCATTGCCATGCCAATCTCTGGACTCGGTCGTGAAGCCAACGCTGAAGCGGTCTCATATGAAGCAATCCGAGCGGCGTGACAATGGCAGTGGATGCCATATGCCCCAGGAGCCTCTGAAACTGTTTCAGTGGAACCGTCTTCCTGAGCTGGAACGACTCCAGGCAGTTCAGCATCGACTGGGCACACTCTACTGAGAGACGTGCTGTCAGGTTGACCGAGTCCAGCTCTTTTCCCAGTTGACCTGAAGCCCTAACCGGCTGAGGTGGCTGAGCACCAAGTCCCTGTGTTCGCACAACTGGGCTCGAGACTGGGCTAGTATGAGCCAGTCGTCGGGGTAGTTGAGAATGCGAATGCCTCTTTCCCTCAACGGGATGAGGGCTGCCTCCACGACCTTGGTGAAGACACAAGGCGACAGGGATAGCCCAAAGGGGAGGACCTTGTACTGAAATGCCCGTCCCTCGAATGCAAAGAATCGAGACATGAAAGTACGTGTCATTCAGGTCTATCGTTGCAAACCAATCGTGAGGACTAATGCATTGGAAAATGTGTTCCTGCGTTAACATCTTGAATGGGAGCTTGTGTTCAAGATGCACATTTCCAGATTGGCCGCAACCCACTGCCTTACTTGGGTACAAAGAAGTACGGTCTGTAAAACAGTGTCTTCAACATCGGCTGGAAGGGCCGTCTGTATTGCGTCCTCCGCCAGTAGGACTACAATATCTGCCCACAGGCCAAGAGCTAAAGCCTGGGGAGACGCCGGGCGAATTGAATCGCATAGCCGAATTTGATGGTCCAAACAAGCCAGCAAGGCGGCCTAAGAAGCACTAGTCAGGCCTCCAGAGACTGTAAGCAGGGTCAAAGGGACCACAGACGTACCCGCAGTGAGGCAGCGTGGTGGAGCACAGAGACCCGACCCGAAAGGCACAGCATCCTGGAGTAGCGTCTGAGTGTGCGGTGCAACACTTACCTGACTCCCCGGTTGGGCAGGGGGCGTGTGAGAAGGCATAGCATCCTCGAACCGGGCCCTGCTGCCTGCTGGTAAAAGAAGAGGGGGATGAGAGTGGCAAGGCATAGCGTCACACATTGCCATCCATGTCCTCTTGCAACTCAGAGATAGAGGAAACTGCTCCTTACTGCACTGGCCATAAAGCCAGTGGTGGAACAGAAATTCAACTTAAAGGTTCTCTACCCGGCCCTCCTCTGGGGGAAGAGCAGCTCCCTTCGTCTCTGGGTCACCCATCTCAGGAGTGGTTTTGCCCATTGTTTGGAGGATTTAACGGTGGCTGAAATGGGTGGCGTCGTCTCTGTGGGGGGCTCGATATCACGGTTGAGCTGGCTGTGCCGGAGCGTTTTTTAAATTTTGCCGCAGAGGACAGACGTCCTTGGTGACGAGCAGACTGAGGGGCAGCCCATAATGATCTGGTAGCACAGTGGGGCATGCTCTTGAGAGCCTCAGCCTGCTTCTGGACTGCGAAGAACTGCTGGGCACAGTCCTCAACAGTGTCACCAAAAAGGCCACCTTGTGAGATGGGAGAATCAAGTAAGCACACTTTGGTGACAACTCGCACCTCTGCAAGGTTTAGCCAAGGGGGCTTCTGGACCAGCCAAGTGGACATCGTCTGGCCGAGGGCCTGCGCTGTGACTTTCATCATGGTCAGTCATAGTGCACAGTTCCTGCATCAACCCCAGCTCAGAACTACCCTTGTGCATTTTGAGTGCTTTGGAGTGGTAAATTGCAGGGTGGCTATCGCATGCAGGGCAGAGACGGCCTGTCCAGCAGCACTGCAAGCCTTAGCAACCAGAGCTGCTGTTATCTTACAGGTGCTGGACGGGACCTGCGGACAACACCACCAGGTTGCAAAACTTTGCAGGCATTAAAAAAGTACTAATTTGCCTCCATGCTGCCAAAGCTTCTCATGCACCTCTGGAAAGAAAGGCGCGGGGACAGGGCAAGGCGATTGCCGCGTCGCACTGTGCCCCCAGAAACCAATCTACCAGCCGCGATCACTCAGAACGAGTCAGAGTGCACAGCAGCTGGAGCAAGCATGGCTGCCAACTCTGAATCTAATCAGCAGAAGCAAGCACCACATAAGCGGGAAACTCCACGTCATCTTCATATCCAGAGCATAATAGCCCTCTCTTCAATGCAGCAATCGACATCTGAACCTCATCTAGAGCGGCAAGCGATGCGATGGGTTGCTGTGATCACAGAGATTTTGCCGGAGGAAGGCTCTCGCAGTGATCCTCGGTCTTTAAAGGTGTCACGCAGACCTGCGGCTGTGCTTTTACACACAACAGCAGCTGGGCAAGAGGAAAGGGGACTCAGCCTTTACAGAAAAGGAGAGTTGCGACCGGCGTGTCGACGTGGTCATGTTCCATGCGAACATAAACCACCCACGATCGCAGTCTCAGCATGCTTAAGCCCAGGCATGCGAGACAGCGATTGTGGCTGTCAGATGAGGACAGGAACGACCGCATCCAGAAATGCACGGACAGAGAGGCGTCTTCAAAAAGACGCTCGCCGTCCGCTAGATCTTTTATAGAAAAAGCTATTTTAGTGCTGAAGCACACAGGGGAACGGTCGCTGTACGGCGTGCAGGACTGTTTGATAAGCCTGCAGCGTGCACAATGCAGAGAAAAGCTCTTTCAGTAGTGACCACCACTGACACGCCGTCACACCATCACTCTCTAGAGAGCTTTCACCTGGTTCGTTGCTTACACATTCGAACGATGATTGCAGAGCAGAATCATGAGAAGCGCTTGGCTCCTAAGCGAAAAGCTGAATGTGCAACTGCACTCGCTCTCCTTTAGCCACGCTGCGGGGCGGGGTGTGCGATGCTTGTTAACACTCAAAGGTGATTGGGCTCTCGGGCGAGATCCCAATTCATCAGTCACTGCTGACGTAACGTCGAACGTGACTGACTGAAAGGGAACAATTGTACTTGAGGACTTTTAAGAGTACTGATTTGGCTGATTACCCTTCATTTGAGCTTAACGGAAAAGGCTGGTTAAAGGTGTGGGGGTTTTTTGTATTGAAGCTTGTTTCCAGAAAAAAGGGTAATTGCACATTTTAATGTCACAATTATGTCTTTATTTCTTGCAATTCTGAGTTTACATCTCACTTTTTCCTCTTAATTGTGAATTTGTATCGTTTTTAAGGAGCACCTCATTTCATGGACAAAAGGATTTGTCTTGATCACAAATAAGGTCAGAAATGCAAGAAAAGAAGGTCAGAATTGTGAGATAAGTCACAATTCCCTTTTTTTTTTAAAATTCTGTGACAGAAACTGGCTTTTATAATTGTGCCTAATAGTGAGGCTGATAAAACTATAAATGGGTTATTGTAGCTAATCATGCTAACAATGCATAGAAAAACAAACATTCTGGGCTCTAGAAACCTTTTTCAGATCAAAATTATTCAGAAATTACTATTAACTGAGACACTGAGTTTAGAGAACAGGGAATGAGAGCAAACATCTTTTGAAATACTGTCACCTTGTTCATCCCCAAATGTACTGAAGAGAAGAAACACTGAAAAAGCCTCAATCAGTAGTGCTCAGTATGACTGCATAATAAAATAAACCAATGTGAGGAACTAATACACTCTTTTTAAAAACACTTCAAAATCACTACAAAGGCACCTCATGTTATTTGTTTCCTATCTGACACAGCTGTTTCTCCAAAGAGCTGTTAAATGTTTAACGTGTTGCCGGTTGTCTTTTGCAGATTCAGATGTATCGTATATCCCTTCAAGCAAAAACTGACAATATCAACAGCCACGCTTATCATTGTGATAATCTGGGTTTTGGCAGTGTCCATCATGTGCCCCTCTGGCGTCATGCTTAAGGTGACTAAAGAACAAAGTGTCCGTGTGTTCCTGGGAGATGGCAACCGAACAAGCCCTTTCTACTGGTGCAGGGAAAACTGGCCTAACCAGGAGATGAGGAAGATCTACACCACCATCCTGTTTGCCAACATTTACCTGGCTCCTCTGTCCCTCATAGTGATCATGTATGCAAGGATCGGCATCACTCTGTTCAAAACGGCCATGCCGGCAGGCGCCAAACCGGGCCACGATAACCGTCACTCCGTGTCGAAGAAAAAACAAAGAGTGATCAAAATGCTCCTCATCGTGGCCTTGCTCTTCATCTTGTCCTGGTTGCCTCTGTGGACGCTGATGATGCTAACAGACTATGTTAAACTTACTGAACATCAGTACAAGCTTATTAACATCTACATTTACCCTTTTGCCCACTGGTTAGCCTTTTTCAACAGCAGCGTCAACCCGATAATCTACGGGTTCTTCAATGAGAACTTCCGCCGTGGATTTCAGGCCGTGTTTAAGTTCGGCCTGTGTCCTGTCGGCGGTCAGCATCGGACCTATTCTCACAGGGTGCAGGGCAATTCTGTGCAACCGGTGAACCCGCAACCCTCCACAGAGCCCATCTCTCTTAACAGCCTGGAGAACAACAGCTCGAGGAGGATGAACCACGTCAACGAGCAAGACTTAGTGATGGAAGATCTAGAGAAAGTGTCTGAATGCAGCGTGGAAGGAGCTTCTCTTTAAGGCGCTTAGTAGAGAGGAATACTGTAGAATGACAACAAGCTCATTACATCTCAAATGACAGACTATTGCTTACTTACATTTTTTAAATGACATTGTTAACATTATACAGTTGTGTATAAAATGGATTTTATTTATTTTGAATAGTCATTTGCTGCTAACATGAATGTACTTACTGATGTTGTCAGTAAGATTGGGCACATCTGGCAGTTTATCAACTGTAGTCTTGTAAACTTTACAATCAAATTCAGTAAAAAAAACCTGTAACATTATTGTAAAATTATGTATATACACAAAATCATTAGGTGCATTCACTACTGTATAGTGATGTAAAGATCTGGGGTTTTGCAGTACATCATTTAATTTATTGATTTATTTTTATATGCGCATGAAAGTATCAGAACTGCCATAATCCAGAATCATTCATTGTTTCTGGATTACAATGTGTGATTTTAGGCACAGTACTTACATATTAATACTAAAATTAAACCTTCATACCTCTTCTGTGATATGATCCCTTGAAACGCTGGAATAAGAAAGTAATAATCATAGTAAGTCACACTTGCCTTTCTGCCCTGACTGACAGTTGTATGGGCAACAAGAATATTTGAAGCACACGAGTCTGGATGTAGCACTGTGATTCACTTGCCTAAAGCTTATGTGATCTTCAAGCATGCTTTCTCAAGTTTGTTTGTGCCAAAACCATCTATTACCTTTTTTACCCTCTCTTTTTGCATGTTAAATAACTTATGAGAATTCTCTTCTGCTCACCAAGCCTGCATTTATTTGATCTAAAATACAGCAAAAGCAGTAATATTGTGAAATATTTGTACTATTTTAAAATAACTGCTTTCTATTTCAATATATGTGACCCTGTCTTTGAAATCCAGGCTAAAGTCTCAAAATCTAATTATGAGATAACAAGCATCAGAGTTTGATTTCAACCATTAATTTCACTATGATTTCAATCTTTGACATGGCCTTACTCAGTCAATATTAAAGATATAAAGGTTATATTTTCACAGAATGTTCTACATCTGTATGAAGGATGATTTTATGTAGAACACAGTAAATCACAAAAAAAATTACTTTAGCTGGGTTTTCACAGGCAGGGTCACATATTTTAAAATGTAATTTATTCCTGTGATCAAAGCTACATTTTCAACATCATTACTCCAGTCCTCAGTGTCGCATGATCCTTCAGAAATCATTATAACATGCTGATTTGCTGTTCATGAAACATTTATTATTATTATTATTATTATTATTATTATTATTATTATCAATATTTAAAACAGTTGAGTACAGGATTCTTTGATGAATAGAAAGATCCAAAGATCAGCATAAATATATTTATTTATAATATAAAATATAAGAATATAAATATATAAATGTATATGCATGTAAATATTTTCAAAATATATACTGTATGTGTGTGTATTTATACATAATAAATACACACAGTACACACACATATATTATGTAAACAAAAACTTATTTTGAATGCGATTAATCACGATTAATCGTTTGACAGCACTAATTTTAAAATATGTTCAAATAGGAAACAGTTATTTTAAATAGTATTTTAAATTTGGATCAAATAAATGCAGGCTTGGTGAGCAGAAGATACTTTAAAAAATTTGACTGGTAATGTATACTGTATATATATATTTTGAAATATTTTTACGATTTAAAATAACTTTTCTATTTGAACATATTTTAAAATTAGTGCTGTCAAACGATTAATTGCGATAGGTGTGTGTGTGTGTGTGTGTGTGTGTGCGTGCATGTTTATGTGGTTTATGAGGACACAAATTTGTATAATGACATGGGTATGACATAGGTATTACAATGAGAATGTGATTTATGAGGACATTTTCAGTGTCCCCATAATTCAAGAGGCTTATAAATCATTCAGAATGAGTTTTTTTGAAAATCTAAAAATGCACAAAGTTTCCTGTGAGGGGTAGGTTTATGTGTAGGGTTGGGGTAGGGCGATAGAAAATACGGTTTGTACAGTATAAAAACCATAGCACCTATGGAGAGTCCCCATAAACCATAAAAACCAACATGTGCCAGCGTTTATTTCAGTTTATGTTTTTTTTTAGTTTCACCCTGAATGAATGAATGTCCTACATTCACTGTGAATGTCAACAAAAGTCTTTTCTCTTCCTCAAATAGAGCAAGCTATTTCAATTTACCAGGCTATTTTGATCCAAATTGTGTGACAGGAGTTTGCTGGATTACTTGTTTGAACCATTGAAGATGTTCAAAAATACCAACATGCAGAGGATTTGTCCTCAAGTAATTCTAGCGTTTGTTGTCGACTGTAGATTAAATCTATCTGCAGACAGAGCTGTGTTTTTGTGATTATCATGGCAGATGGGAGATGAGTATGTTAATTCTGCCCTCTTCTCGACAGCATACACTACATAAACCAATGCAATCTCAAAATGATTAAGGCAGCAGCACCAGTGACACCACTGTAAAGTGAGATCGGAAATTAGCCAAGAGAATCTGTTAGAAACAGACAGAAGACGTTAAGAAAAAAAAAAAGCCTGTGATTACAAGGTGACTCTGACTTTATGGACTCTCCAGATGTATCACTTGTTAATGCAGGATTTGCCAAGGACACATTTCTTGAAGAAACATTTCATTTTAAATCTCTCTGTTTACTGAACATAAAGCAGAGTACTTCCTGTGGAATTGTTCATTTCTGTATTTCAAATAATGTATTGGCTAAAGCAATGCTGTAAACGTTGTGAATCTTGTTATATTAATGTTGGCTACATGCTAATAGTGAGTACACTTGTTTCAAATGTGATTGTGACTGACTCATTTTGATTTTATAAACACCTTGCAACAAAGAATAAAGCAATCAGTGTTCAGGGTTAACTTTTTCTTTTCAAACTGACTGGATATGGATTAAAAATGGTCTGTCCTTCAGAGTGCTGTTTATGTTGTGAAGATACCATCATGCTTGGGTGTAGATTAATAAATCAGTGTAACTCAATTGCTTTTTAAATTTTATTATTATTATTATTATTTTCATATTATTTTACATCATTGCACCAGACACAGCTTTAAAGGTCCCTTATTGGTGCATCATGTAAAAATACTGGAATGTCTTTAATGCTTTTTGGGTTGGAGTTGATGGCGCACCACCTCAGACATCACTGATTCTGTCACCGTTTCCTTTTCCTGAATGGAAAGCTATTCATTCTTTATAGGTGCAAGATACCTGCCACAAGCCTCCAGATTTTGTATGTCTTGAAGTATACAGTGTTACAATGAAAAGCGAAATTTGTCTGATCAAACTGCCATGTGATTCATCACGGATCTATTCACACTGAACTTTCTGCTTTCTTTTCTTCTGTATCCAATGAGGAAGCAGAGATCTGTTTTGGTAATGTAATCAGGCATTGCCTGGCCCCGGGCCTGGCTCCAGCAGTGCCTCTGACATTGCTGGAAATAGGACAATTCTGGCAATGATTCAAACTTCTGTGCTTTCAGTCCTCGATGAATGCATAGTACTGGTGAAAATCTAGTGACGTGCATGAGTATGATGTTCCAAGTAGCGAGATGAAAACTGTCACAAAGAGTAAAATCGCAAAGTATGAAGATGGGGTTGGTTTATTCAGGTCAACGCTGGGGAACTTGAGAAATGACTCATCATACTAACTATTTTAATGTGATGTGTTAGTGATGTAGATGTGAAGTGGTCGCAACTCGCATCGAGTGCCACTGAGGCAAGACATTTGTCGCGATCTGGTCACCGACCTTAACGACATGTGTAAACATTTTCATCATGTGCTGGACGATAGTAAAACATGTTGGCCGAAATGATGGTGCTGTTGAAACAGACATCAGTCATACAGACATGTTATTGTGGCAAAGTTTTAAAGCTGAGGAAAGTGAATAGATCAAAATGAGTGTACTTATATTGTTATGTTTGTTTCCGGTGATCATTGTCATTTGTCAGAGTCCAAGGCTTGTGAGTTTCAGAATGATGTAATAAAAATATCATGTGCTCAGGGTAATAAATCAATATGAAAGGGCTTGAATACAAGTCTATTCTTCATTTTGCCTCTGTGTGTTGAGCATCATTGATGTGATGCTCTTTTTTTGTCCGGATCTATTCATTTCTTCTGTTAAAACATTAAAAATGCCGTTCATACGTACAATGATTTGAATACACCTCTTCTATCATGAGCATGTTTTTCATTCTGAATTCAAATTCTGAATTTTGGGGGCTTGAAGTAAAAAATGTCAAGGTGATACAACTGTTCTAAAACCATAATGGAGAAAAAAGTCTTATTAAAAGCATGGGATTTTTAATAGAAAGATGTGGACAAGAAGTTTTTTTGGCTCAATCTTTTATTTCACTGCCTACAAAAAGCAGTGTCTTTCATTTCTCAGCTTTTCTCATCCAAATCAATCATTTGGTGAGAACAACATGCAGAAACATGCAAGAAAGAAAAAAAGGAATGAAAGAGAGGATCAACAAGTCAGTCAGAAAATTTGACTTTTTCAAGACGAGGCAAGGTTAGTTGTCACGTCTAGTGATACATCCATCCTTCCATCCTTCAATATGCTTGTTCTATGTAACTGACTGTGACTGACGGGGATGCTGGCATGTCATGTGGTGTGAATTTTCAAAAAATATTTTCATTTATAAATTAATAATTTAATATTTTGAAAATGTTTTAATACACATATATTTAAAAAAATTATAATAATAATGATTCATGTATTCACATGCATTCAAGGTGTTAGGAAAACATGTTATTATTATTTATACTCACGCTGTGATCAGCAGCAGCTGGATGCAATAATCGCATGCCAATGTGCATTGGCTCGTTTAGTTTACACTCGAAGTAGATTGGTCCCTCTAAGCGAGATCCCAATTTCGTCGGTCCTCCGACGTGACGTCTCCGTTCCCTCCTTCAGGGAACGAGGGTTACATACGTAACCGAGACGTTTTGTTGTCACTGTACAAAAAC